AAATATTAAGATCTTAAATTATCACTTGCTCTCGTTTCTATATCTCAGTTCACTATTTACACAGCATTCGGATCTTCTTGATATGGTTTTAAGCGAAAGCTCTTTTCGTCACCAAAATTCACAGATTATATTTTATATTATATTAATCCTATAGATAGCCCGTTTAATCTGGATAGTAGCATTCATCTTGGATGCTTTGCATAATAAAAATTGGTCGCCAAATAAATACTTATAACTCATTTGACAACATTTTTCTCTTTGATGATCAAATATTAAATTAAGGAAAATTTATCAACTTCCCGAATCTAAGTAATGTTTGAAAGCTGGCTTAACTCATGGAATTGACCCTCTTATTTGTTCCATTTTTCTTTACACACCCGAATGTTTTTAATGTTATTGTCTTTATCTAGTCTCTTACTTATTTAATTGCTTTGTCTTTTTGCCTGTTGGCTCAGGTGCGGAAAGTTTGCCTTCTTTTTGGTCCCATATTTCTGGTATGAAAAGAGAACGATTTCATTTTTCTTCCACTATATTTTATCTTTGTTGCTTTCTCGTGTCTGCTATGAAAGTTAAATTTATATTAGGATAGTTGATATCAATGTTTAGTCAAACTAATTTGCCTAATTCTAAAAATCGAGCTTCAGCAGTAATTTCTTCTATTCGACTCTTATTTCAGCCTCCTACATTGACGAAATTGAGTCAAACGCTGATCCGGCCCAAACTTGTCGTCTGACTAATGTCGCCAAAGACTGCAATTCCAACTTCATCATCTGGAAGCACTCTGGCCCTGGGTGTCTTTATCATTCGAATCTCTCTTCAGCGGCTTCAGGGCATACTCTAAGCAGTCAACTAATTGTACACGAATTAGATCATACGGTACGCCGGCTAGCATCTGCTGCAACACACCAGTCTGCAAGCTTAATCCATTTACCGGTTTGGGCCCGGCCAACACTCCCTACTCCAACTCCAGTCAGTACGGCAGCAACTGCTTTTGCTCAAGGGGTTGTCAGCGGCCTCATCGATGAGGCTGTTTCTGGAGTCGATGCAGTTACCAAAGAGACCAAAGACAAGGTCGAGGTTGTCTCGGATGTTGTGGATCAGCATGCACAAGCAGTACAGGTATAAATTAGTCACTTCTTGATTTTAGAGTACGTTTCATTTTGTTTGAATGGGCGAGTAGAAGGGATTTATAATTTGGTCTCACCGTAAGTTGTAGTGTCTTGGAGCTGTGATTGTAAATTTGCGCGAATAGGCTATCGGAGCACCGCCCTGCGACTCCATGGGACCTATTCACACAAATCTACAATCACTGCTATAAGTCAATCCCTCTAGAGCTTCTAGTGAGACCAACTCACGAATCCCTTCCGTTTGTCTCTATAAACGGAATGAAAGGTACTCTTTTAAGAGATTATTCAAATCCCAGTTTTTATATACACCTAATTATTACTTGTTTGTATCTAAAATGTGAAACATAAATCGATATGAAGGTCGATATCCTACAATTTTTTGTCATATCGTACTATGCTTTATCGTCTTATTCGCTTATGGACTTAACTCTCGA